GAATAAAACAAGAAAGCGCACACAGTTCCTTTGAGACTGACCAGCAACAATCAAAATAGGAGCCCTGGACCTAAAATTATACCTGTCCAGATATGTTTAATTTTTATAACATTAAAATGGAATTAGCATAATTTAATTTCATAACCAATAAGACTATACATAGTAAGATACTATATCGTATACACTGATGAGATTGCTCACAAATGTCAGACAGAAATCTTTTCCAGCTCTATCTAAAGATATCTAGGTTTAACTCTAAGGTGTTTTAAATATATCTGTAATCAACCACCATAGACAAGTATAATCTATATTATACAATTAATTTATACAATTAATGTGGACTATAAAGCATCAGGCAAACAGACCCCTACATAAGAGATTCACAATAACTATTTGGTGGCTTCTAAATATACCACATTTGTGTGCATGTATATAAGCTCTAACAGGCCTAAAACATGATTTCACGGGGACAATGTGGCAAATTCAAGCACCCATATTACAAAAATACATTTAATTTTGTTGCCTTATTTATTAGGTGTCTTGTTTTTCCTCTGTACTAATGCTGAAAAACTGAAGCCATCATGTTTTTCATGTCACCCTGATATATTGACACTAAATATATTCTTGCATGCATTTATTTATCTATGTACCTACCTACCTACCTACCTATCTTAGCATTTGCTCAAGGTGAAAAATAGTTGAACTAAGGAAAAATTGATACACTTTCAATAGAACATATCAAAATAAGAATCTATAAGAAATATTTCCTGTTGCCAAAGCTCTGCAGATGTTTGAAATAAAAAGACAATGCAAAAGAGTAGTAATTGTATGCCAGTAGCCAATAATATTTTTGCTTCACAAAATAAAAATATTATGGAAAGATTCAGAACTAAAATATGTCCTTCAGATTATCATATATTTCAGCCATAATAAAAAGAGCAGAAAAAGCAAATAATCTGTAACCCTTCATTTTTTAAAAAAAAAAATCCCTCTATACTAACGATGTCATTCTTTTTATAATAGGGAGCTAGTTCAAAAGTATATTTCCTATTATAAATATGGCTGGTAAAATAAATGATAAATTATTGCTATAATGTAAATGACTAATTATTGATTTTACAAGACACATTTATAATAGGAACATTATAGCATTAATTACATGTACTGTATATACATTTGTAAAAACATGGGATTTCTCCATATATAAGTTAAAACTAACTGCAACTATAAATGCAAGACTGTAATGAACAGTGATGCTGGAAATGTAAAAGATGAAGATGAAACTATTAACTATAATTAATCACAGTGTTTCATTCAGTGGGACTGTCTTTGATTCAGCTACTGCAAAACATGGTTCAATCCTTGAAAAGTTTTAACAAGAACCAGGCTTTATGAATATATGGCACCAGTCCTTCCCTGCCTTCCAAAGAATCATCACATCCAATTCAACATGCTAGTTTTAACTTATAAGGCTCTAAGTGGCTTGTAACCTCACTAAGATGGAGTGTCTCTTCCCATAGGTACCTATTCTTCTCTCTTTGTGATCTTTAAAAGGGTTTTCTCATATGACCCTCAATGAAAAGTTTAAAGTTTATGGCCATGGAATAAATGCCTTTTCATTATGACCTCTCTGGCTTTGGATTGCCTTCCCTATACACCTGCTACTCCTTTTTGGTGCCCAGTGTCCTGTTGCCCTAGGTTTTATTATTAATTCCTGTTTCTGATGCCTGTTATAGCTGTTATAATAAGTGATGCATTTTATTCTCACTCTACTAATATTTTCTGTCAAACTTTTTTCTATGCGCTGTTTCTAAAATGTGGTTTCCATTGTTTTAACTGTATTCTAATTTCTACAATGTCTAAAACACTTCGTCTTTGAAACAATTATAAAAAATTAATAAATATTACTAATAAAAATATATCTTCACAATTTGCTTGAAGTGACAGTGCAAGTTAACTTTGTATTGCTATTAAATTCACATGAATATCCTTGAGAGTTGCATGATTATATGCTCAGCTAGATTCCTGAATGCCTCTTCTAATATACATTTCAACACTATTCTATAATTTTCTAACTAAAAGCAGGTTTAAAATTATAGAATTATCCTGTATTTTCCATCAGCTTTTGTCTCTAAGTGCATAGCTGAATAGTTTCTTAGTGTCAAATAACATTAGACATGCAACTGAGTTTACACATGTTTACTCAGAAATAAAACTACTGTGTTCATAGGACAGCAGTCTAATGTTATACAGACCTATTCTGAAGTGATCCTATTAACAGTGGCAATTTATTTCTGAGCAGACATGCACACAGTTGGGCTAGTCAAACAGAGATGTATGTGGAAAAATATATGAGATAAAATCTGATACCATCAACTTGCTGCTGGAAATTTTGGTTCAGGTATCAAGATTAGAACAGTGAAAATCTGAACTCAACTGAATCTGAAATCATTTTTTACAGAGTTGAGCACAGAGAGTAACCAACCAAACTCTTGAAAAAGAAGTTATGATTGGAACTTGATCCTGTATTAACATAATAACTCCTCTACTCTATCGCTCATTCAAAAATAAACAGGTTCTGTTTATAAAATCTTTTTATTGTGAAGATCTATATTATACTTTACTGAAAATTTCACATACTCATGTTGCTGTATTCATTTTTAAAAAAAAAGTGGGCAAGAATAAGAATAAAGCTGAAATGCTACAAACAGAATATTCTGGTCCCTATCTCAGCCCATCTTTCCACAATGACCCACCACTTGTTTCAAAGACAGCATTGTCTCCCCACCCCTTTCCCCTTTCTCAGTGGTACTGCACTGATCTGTGTCACTGTTATCCAATGTGAAGGATTATGATATTTAATCATTAAAGTATTAAATATGTCCAGAAGAAAGAGTACAGATATTCTCCAATTATATATTACTTGATAGATAAAAAGTTTCATATACAAGTAGTGAAGAGATATTTTATAGTCACACTTTCAATTCTGTTAAATAAAATGTGTAACACAAGCCGCACATATTTAATTTTCACTTCTTCTAGTAACATATGTTCAGTTACTTTGCTTTAATTGACACAATTTCAAGCAGGGTTATTGCCAAAGTCAACTGCAAGGCTAATCCACAAGAATTTCCAAAAGATGCAACAGTGAAAGCAATTTAAAAATTATCTAGAAAGGCATATTTATTTCTGCTGAATATATGGTTAATAGTAAATAATCCTATGCAGCAGGTCTATTCAAAACAAGACATATTTTTTAAAGAAAATGTTTTATCTTCTTTGTCTTTATTTCTTTGCATGTACCTTGTATTAAAAAAATCAACTTATGTAAACACAGTACAAGATAAAACTGAAATTAATCTCCAACATCAACTGTTCTGAAACTTGGAAAAGAAGCCAAAGTATTGAAAAGAATGTGAAAATTTACATCCCTGAAAATATTCTGGCAATATTTTAAACAACTGATTACACTTCAGCTTGGAAGTTTGGATTCTGTTTTGGACAGACTGTGGTGATGATATGGGTGGAGACAAGTGCCAGTATCCCATATCCTTTAAGTGGTTAGGCTGCACAAAACTTTGGAAGAAAGTAACTACATTCCTAGAAGGAATGGTAAGAACTAAAATTAAACATAACGATCAGACTGCCTCTTCTCTATCTCCTTTTTTCTTGCCTACCCTGCCTTTCTTGCTTTCTCTTTTGCAAAAACTTTCTGAATGCCAATGTGACACATAAGTCTGAATCTGTATTTTTTGCAAAAAAACAAACAAACAAACTTTGGGAAGTTGCAATAGAAATATTCAATGTTCCTTTATAGAAAAAGGACACATTACTGTTGGATGGAAAGAGAATCAACCTAATAAACAAACTTTCCATCCACCAAAAATAAAAAGGTTTTGGACAGGAGCCTTCTACAAATTCATTGCAGTTAGTTAACTTCTACTGATTCGGATTTGTCTGATAGGGAACCTTTGCTCAGTGCCTCATGGGTTACATCAAATAAACGGCAGGGCATGGGAAGGGACAAGATGGAAAGTGACTTTGGAGTAACAGGAAAGAAGGAAACCGTGTGAGCAACTCTATGAAGTTAAATCTCATTGAAGCCGTTCCACACCACCAACTGGCACAGGAAAAGTTGAACTCTGGTTGCTCCTTCTCTTTCGTCTTCAGTGGCACACTGCTATGTTAGAGAAACGATACACATCCCAAATGAAGACAATCGGGATTAAGACTGGCAGGCAGATTTGTCTCTCAAAAGACTGCGGAAAGCCAACAAAAACAACAAGAAAATAAAGAGAGAAATGGTGCTACTCTGCTATTGGAAAATACTTTACAGATTTAAGTTCGGAAGAGAGATCGGACTTGTCTACCGAGATTAGGAGATCCTCCTTTAGGTCTGACGCTCAGTTACATGTCACTCTTTTCAGAGTTATATGCTGGGCAGTCCCGTAGCGCAAACAACCCAAAATGATTGGTTGCGGTTATAAAATGGAAGAAGGTGGGGGAAACAAAGAGGTGAGAGAGAATCCCAATGGATGACAAGTTTCCAAAGATGCTACATCTTAGGTCTCGCCCGCGCGCAGCCTCCCGAGAATCTACGGCGCAGCGCTCCTGCAACTTCCTGGGGTGGCCGTTGGGGCAGTCAGGGCAGGGCTTGGAGCAGAAGCCGAGACTCCACTCTGATCTGGAATCAGGAGGGAGAGCCAAGCGCAGCAGACCTGACTTTCCTTACGTTAAAGCAAATAAATAATACCTCCAAGTATTCTAAAGCATTAGTAAGATCCTGTCCAGTAAACAGTTTAGTCCAGGGGCTCAGATTACCTAGCTGCACAAGCCACGCGACCTAGGGGGGCCCAAAGCTGCTCTGCTCTCGCGCCGGCTGGAGCGCCCCAACCCGGCGAGCGATCTCAATGGCGCGCAATCCTCCTCCAGCCTACCCCCCGACCCGCCGTGGCCGCAAGAAAAGCCTTGCCTGCTCTGCCATCAGGCGTTCCGCTTACCTGAAGGGCCCGCCTTGATTGGCCCGTGCCGACCTTGCCCCGAGTTCCTCAGACGAGGCGACGAGACTTGGCTCCGAAGGAGGACTGAGCGCGCCCGAAGCGCCTTGCTTCCCGGGGATAGCGGGACAGGGAGGCGAGAGACTTCCCTCAAGTCGTAGCCCTCGCCGCCACTCGCGTTGCCCTCGGCAGCTCGCTTTCTTTGATTTTGTTCCTTCTTTCTTAGCGGGGAGAAGAAGGGCAGGCAAAGTCTGGGCACATTCTTTCCATTCTTCGGGCGAGGAAAACTCTCCAGAGGTGGAAGAGACTGAGGCGAAATTGGCGGTGGCCGAGCGGGGAGAGGCTCTCTTGGGAGCTTGACAGCGACGCCCAGCAGCGAGCCTGCTTTACCGTTTAGGCAAAAACCCAGTCGAGGGAAAGGCGTTTGTGTGCGCGCCTTACTAATTCGCTTCCTGCCCGGCTGGCTAAGTTTAAAATGTGGTGTTCGCAATGAATGTCACTTGAGTACAGCCTGGAAGAGCCTCTCCCCCCAGCACACGCACACCCCGCCTGCTGCTTTCCCTCCCCGGCCCTGCTGCCACCCCACGCGTTTACTCGCACACACAGCGCGCGCAGGGCCACCGAGCATCAACCAGGCGCCTGGGCAACGCCAGGCGAGGTCCTGTCACAGGCGCCTTTTCTCTCTCACGCCAGTCGTCTCGAAGGGAGGGCACGCAGCCCACCCCTCACACACTCCTAGGCGGGCTTACCCCCAGGCGGGAGGAAGAATTCGTCAAAGCCTTTCTTAAGCTGGGACGAGGGAATATTCGTTTTACCACTTACTGAAAAGGTTCCTGTAGTGCTGGCGCTTAACCTGTCCCAGTGCCAGTCTCTTGCCCCCGGGGCAACTAGTTGCAAACAGGTGTCTTTGAGACTTATAATGTCAAGTGGGACATCGCAGCCCGGGAAGTGAGAAAGAGTTGGTAGGGCTGCAGGACTGAAGCACAGTACAAACTGGTATTTTCTAATACAGCTGATCAGGTTCAGTGTTTTTATTTCTTCTCCTTCATTTCCATCATTATCATCATCATCTTGATTTTAATGGTGAAAGAAGTCCCTGCCCTCCCCCTCTTCAGTCCCCATGATATTTTTACAATGAGATGCCAGAGAAAGACCTGGGACTTTGGGTATACAAGCAACAAGCCAAATAACTGAAGCTTTATCCTGAAAGCCTTGAACCTAATGTCACTTTCATTTTAAAATTAAAGTGTTCAGCAAATCTCAGGCTAATCCCAGACACAGACACACACACACTAAAATCAACAGTCTTAAGAATCATATTAGATTTTATACAAGGGATAACTATTTCACCAGGTTTGAAGGAACAGCTCAAAGATAATGAATTTAATTTGTTCTTCGGAACAGAATTTAATACAGGCTTTGAACAAACCTATGTTATTGCATCTAATTCTATCTCAGATCCAACATTTTACAAATCTAGAATCTAAATGCATTCACAGTAAAATATAACGCCTAGACCATGACTTTGCCTAACCTCAAACAGTAGTGTAGTTGACAAGCACTAAACACAAAATAGTTTTTTATGCTCATGTCATCCAGTTTTCATTGCAAGCACTTTTCAGTCCAAACAGAAGCAAGGTCGTTATCAGCATCACTCCATTAGCAGTTTTATTAACTGATTTCCAAATTTTCACATTCATGTAGTGTCAGAGAAGAAGAAATAACTATGACTCAAGTATCCAGCCTCCCAACTTTGCAAGTTTGCACAATACTGTAATACCAAAATAAACCGCAGGCTGGAAAACCTTTGCTTTGTGACATTTTCTGAATTAGTGCTGTTTTACCAATATTTGTTAGAGCCTTTGTGATATGGTTTATTGTATCACCTGGTAATACATTCTGGGGCAGAGTTTTGGTATTATACCTTCCTCATAAAGAATAGAAACTGTACTTAAGCTTCTCTTAGTCTTTGTGCCAGGTGTGGTTATTGCTAATGTCAGAAAAATGGAAGAAAAAACCCCCCCTGAATTACATTTAAGCCAATGTAGGTTAAGCCTCTTATGATTTCTAGTTGCATAAATATATAATTCACCTAGCTCAGCCTCAGAATAGATCTGAGTTTGTTCTATTTATATGAGCAATATATAAATGGAACACATACACAGACTTGCATTCATTATATAAGAAAAATACCTGTAAAAAAGAATTCCCAACTCATTCTCAACATTGTGAATAAATAGCATTGTAACAGACAAATGTATTAAATCATCTGAAAGCAGGCTAAGAGAGTTTATGTTTTCCATGACTTACACACACACACACACACACACACACAGAGAGAGAGAGAGAGAGAGAGAGAGAGAGAGAGAAATTTATGATTAGTTTCTTATTCAAACTCTAATTAACATGGTGGAAAAAAATCTCAGCTTCACAATACTTTCCAAAGATGTCAATTTCTGCAGATTTTTCCAGTTTGCCCACTTTTGTCATTATATTTTTCTAACTTAATTAGATTTGAAGTCTTGGCAAAGTGTCTGGGAAATTATTACAAATGGACTTATTTGTAATGAAGGAATAGTGAGATATATTCATACAGTATGTCCATAGAGTAAATATTCCAAAGACTGTGTTATACATTTCAGTTCATAGAATTGTTTGAAGTCAGTCAACCCTCTTCCTTTTCTTCATGCCATTCCCCATCCTCCTCCAGATATCTAAGTTTTGCCATCTATTTCACACTTACCTGGTTAAGCAGTAGAGGCAACAGCAGCGGTTGCAGCAAGAAGCTTTGATTCAAGATCTTTTGTCTTCCCTAGTTCCTGCTAGAATGTCCCAAACATCTAACATTCTTTGTTAGATCATCAGGCTTCCCAGGGCAGACAAAGTAAGGCAGGTACTTCCTATTTCCTGGGATGCTATCCTAACAGAAGTAAAACTGCCAAAGGGGAAGATGAAAGCAAGGGACGTCTTCCTCTCTATCCTGTTTACTACAACTGCAACCACCAGAGCCACTTACAATCCATGCTGGAAAGAACTATGGTGCTAATGCTAGCCTTAAAACTGGAGGCAAAATTATGACTGGCCAAATTCCACAACTCCATTTCATCAAGTTCTGAGCAAAAAAATCCCTAGCATAATCTCCATAAAAGCATAGTTGATCATGGAAAAGTTAATTATATCATTTCCCATCTGTAGCTTAATAACAGACATTAAATGGCTTAATAAGAGTATTTATTCATTATCACACTCCATATTATTCTATCACTGGTCTGTTAACATCTTTATCCCACTTCCTTTTTTCTGAAAAAAGAATGTTTACCTGTTAATCAATTACTAATCAGCATGTCTCTCTTATCCTAAAACTGCCTACATCTTTGAACAAAATGCATGATAATGTACTAATGATGCTGATAATTTTATATTGATTATTAATTGCCCATCATATGCATTGATATATTGATAATTTCAGTATCTTTTTAATATCCATGTGCATTTTGTAATACAGACAAAATATTGTTAAATAATATCAGTCTTTATTATTGTTTATATCTGCTGAATATGCAGATATTTTTCCTATTTCCTGGTACGCTGTCCTAACAGAAGTAAAACTAAAGGGGAAGATGAAAGCAAGGACCGTCTTCCTCTCTATCCTTGTGTTATCTACTACCAATGGCAACCACCAGATCCACTTGCAATCCATACACAGTGTACTTTTCTTAATTATATATGTTGCATTATCACTGGATGGATAGATAGATAGATAGATAGATAGATAGATAGATAGATAGATAGATAGATAGATAGATAGATAGCTGTAGACTACTGTTAAAATGTTTGTCCTATTTCACAAAAATTCCACTTTACAGCAAATACAGTTGTTGGTCTGTTTTCTCCTTCTTCCTCTGCATAACAGGCTAAATGCCAAATTACATGTGTTCTGTGGGAGTGTGATGGGATTTCCCAATGTTTGTTTTTAGTTGAAAAGCAGCTGGGATGGAGAAAAACTCAAGTTAATATCTTCCTAATTAAAATTGTTGTTAAAATTATTGCTGCTGGTGAGAAACTTTTCCTCCAATGGGGAGCAGCTGTTGGGACTGGTAGGAAAGATTTCAATTAGAAAAACAGCAGGAAAAGAAGGTTAAGCACCATTTCTCCCTGGACTGTTACCTAATCCAAATCAGGACCAAATTTAATTTACTTAATTAAATCTACACACATACACACATACACATATACCGACACACACACACATATAGATATATATATAAAGATTTATATATATGTTTATAAGTGTGTGTGTGTGTGTGTGTGTGTGTGTGTTTAAAAAGGCCATCATAGAATGACATGGAATATTTGATTTCAAATATTTGCTTTTCTAATTGGTAAGAATCCAGCAAACTTTGTAAGTTTGCTTCCAGATTGCAATATGTAAGAGTGTATGAATGTGTGGGTGCCTGTATACACACACATGCACACACACACTTTTAGACTGTACTTTCAGTGTGAGATCACTGCAGCAGCATCTATTACATGACTCTTGAACATGACAGAGAGTGTCTATATGCTAAAGGATGTTTTGAAAACAAAACCTGTCTTTGCAAAACTATTTTATTCTGTTTCATTATACGTATACAATCCTGTTCACTGCCTGAAGTAGAGAATGAAGTTGCATAGAATTGGAATGGGAAATGGAACTGAAAATGTGACTACAGGAAGCAAGCCTGGCAATGCTTCCTTGAAGTTGCACTCCATTTATAACTGAAATATATAAGTTTATCTTTCCAAATAATAGGATTACAAAGAAGAACAATCCTTTATTAACTCCATAAGCAAGTACAGGAAAATTCCTTGATGCACAGTGCTACTGTTTATTCATTTTTATATTTATTAGCCTATCTATTGATTCCTCTACTAAAAGTCACAAAAAATAGCTGACAATTCATATCCATAGCTATGCTTCAGGCTTAATATACAGCTAGTCATCACTTACTGACTACAGTTGGGACCAGGTAAGCGACATGGTGATAACGTAAGTCATGTGACCATGGTGGATTTATTATGTCAGTTCCACTGTGGTCATTAAGCGAATCACTGCAGTCATTAAGTGAGACATCACGTAACCACAGCTTGTGATTACCACCTGCCTCCCTATTGACTTTGCTTGTCAGAAGCTGATTGTGAAGTTCACAAACGGCGATCACATGTCATAAATGCGTACTGGTTGCTAAGCAGCCGAATTGTGATTACATGACCACAGGGATGCTGCAACGGCCACAAGTTCAAGGACCAGTTGTAAGTCTACTTTTTCAGCGCCATCATAACTTCAAATGGTCACTGAACAAGGCAGTGATAAGTGAGGACTACCTGTACGTAAATCAATGTAATT